TATTAACAGCCATTCCCCTCCCACTTCTCCCCCCTCCACCCCCAGATCTTTGGGCCATCAGAGATCTGGGGGGTCGACTCAGAATGACAGACTAGGGCAACAGTCCCCCGGCTTCAAGGAGAGAAAACATGACATGGGGGGAAGCAAACTGGCCTGGGCCCTGAGGGCTGGGCCTCTTGCTGTCAGGGCTCCCCCTGTGAGCTGGGAAGTCAGTCTCCTCTTCCGGGCTGGCTGGTGGCCCCATCTCCTCCTGCAGGGCCTGTCTCTCTCATGAAGTGTTTCCTGTAGCAGACACAGCACAGCGCTCACAGAGGTCTCTCTGTGGCATTTCTGGAATGTCCTTCTTCCCCAGGGCTGCTGTTCTTTTTTCTTAGCGTGAAGGCAGGGAAATAAAGAGGCCTATTTATACTGTTCTGGGCTTCCGCGGAGCACATCTCATTGCTGAGCACTGAAGACGACCTGGGCGCTGCCTGGCGCCTCTCCGAGGGAGTGGATGCGGAGATGGCACCGCCTGCACTTGGCTGGGGCGGGGCAGGTGCTGCCTGCCAGCATGGGGGCGCATGCACCAAGCTGCGGGCTCCCTGCTCCGCGCCCCCGCACGCAGGGCCCTGAGACGCTCATAGCTGGCTCTGTGGAGTCAGTGCCAGGCTGCCCGTGGCAACTTCCCTAAGGAGAATGTCACCAGCCTCCACCCAGCCCCTTAGACTTGAGCAAGTCCTTGAGTATGCAACCCATTTTCTCACAAAAACTCAGAGAGGAGGGTGTTACGAAGCATATTTTAAACCAGAGCAGCCATAACTCCAACATGTCCGTTTTGTCTAAAGTAGCAGACTGTTCTGGACAAGCTTTAACGTGTCATCCTCAGCGCAACCCCCTTTGCTTTGAGAACTAACCCCGTTCATGCGGGGTGACCCCCGCCCTCACACAAGCTTTGGTTAATTGGACTAGAGACGGACAAGGACCCAAGCAGGGCCAGTCAGAGCTTCTCTTTCCAGGTTTTGACTCTTGACTGGGAAATGCTGCTCGGCTTTTGCTGGGCCCTTGAGTGGGAGACCGGCCACACCAGGCCTGGGGCTGCCATGCTGGTGGTGTGCCAAGATGAGCCGAGGGAGCTTGACCACAGAGCCCACGATGGAACTGTCCTGTGGTGACCCCAGCACCTGGGAGACCGTTCCGACAGCTCCCCTGTTCCTGGTTCCAGTCACTCTTGAGACCCTTTGGTTCCCTGAAAGATCCTTCTATTTTCCTGTAACAGGATGTTCTGTGAAGGCTTAAATTTATGTAACACAATGACCTGTTAGAATTTTTAAAAAAAATTTTTTTAGTGGAAAAATCTGCCAGCTGCTATCTGGAAAGACAAAGACCAAAGGTCAGTGTGGGGCGGGTCCTGAGCGGCCTGGCTTGTACAGCGAACAGCAGGCAGGCTCTGACCTGGCAGAGCCAGCCTGGCCAGGTGGTCTACAGAGCGCTGCCAAAGGCGGGGCCCGTTCCAAGTGTGACCCGGGAACCTTCGGCGGGGGGCAGGGCCCCTTCTTCCCAATATTCAGAGACAGGGAGGGTTCCTGTTCAATAGCTAATCTAGAATGTCTTAGCCAAAACCAGTGGCAGAGAAGGACAGCAACAGGTCCTCTGGCTGCCCCCACCCAGGTTGATGTCTGCCCCCAGACTCCCCTGGTAGATGCTCAGTAACATTTATTGAATGCACGATTGTTGCCCAAGTTTATTAGAAAAAGGACATTTAAGGAAATGAGAAAATTTAGTCTGGTATGGAACCAGGACCTGTTGGAAGCCACACTCACTCTCTGATTATGAGGCTCCCAGCCACCAGCTTCCCTGGAGAACTGTACGTTCCCCTCCTCTGCTGCTGGGCTACAGACGCTGATGCCCCGTCCCACCGCGCTCAGTGTACGAAGCCACCCGGAAGAGGCTTGTGCAGGCCTGGGCGTCATCTCAGGGGTGGGGTGTTTGATGTGTCATGTGTGGAAATGCTCCCCACCCCCATCACTTTTATTATTAGTTTGCCTATGAAGCAGGCAGAATCCATCTGAGATTAGCACTCGGCCGGAGTTTCTGGGTCGAACAATAAAGCACAAATATTTCCCATTCCAGGACTCTCTGAACTCTCTGTCATATTTCTATGGCTGTCACTCTCCTGTTCACAAAAATAGACCCAGGCTAAACTAAGCTTCTCTTCCTCCCTTTGCTTTTTCAAGCCTTGCGGTGTCTGAAATAACCTTGCTTGTTGTAGCAGCAGGTGGTGACGCTGGAACTTTCTCCTCGGTGCAGGGGAAGGAGAGTCCGGGGTGGGCCTGTGGCCCCAGGCTGGCTCCTCTTCCTTAAAAGGGGAGTGAGAACAGGTTTTAGCGCCAGACTGAGCCTCTGTGTTTTAGTTCACTTGCGCTGCTGTAACAAAAACGTCACAGGCCAAGAGGCTTGAGCAGCAAACACTTGTTTGTTATGGTTCTGGAAGCTGAGAAGCCCAAGATCAAGGCGCTGGCACAATTGGTGTGTGGAAAGAGCCACTTCCTTAGAAGGCTGTCTTCTCGCTGTGCCCTTACGTGGCAGAAGGGTGACAGTGCTCTCTGGGGTCTCTTTTATAAGGGCACCAACCCCATTCCTAAGGGCTCATGACCTAATCACCCTCCAAAGACCACCCCCACCTCCAAATCCCATCACCCTGGGAGTTGGGTTTTCAACATGTGAGATTTGGGGGACACACACATTCAGTCTGTAGCCCCTCCATGAAGCCACTCGTTAACCGTAGCACCCTGGGCAAGTTATTTCAACTCTCTGAGCCCCAGGTTTCTAACTTTATTCTGTTGAGACTTGACCATTATTAAATGGCAATCCATTATTACTTGCCTCCTTTCTCACCGGGGCAGGATGGGGTTCTCACCTGTCCCGTTGGCCTCCCCCTTTCACCCACAGGTGCCTGCTCCCCTGCATCCTGGCTGAGCGCTGGGCAGCGGGGTCAGAGACGTAGGTCAGCCACCCCGCCTCCTGCCCTGTGCCTGCTTCCAGAGCGGGGCTCACTGAGTCACTCACTCCTTCGCTCATTCTTTTGTCCTGTAGACATGAAATGGATGTAAACTCTGCCCACGAGGCTGTGCCAGGCCACAGAGGATGTGAAGACAAGTGAAACGTGGTCCCTGCCCTCAAGTGCACAGATCTTCACAGGACGCATGAGACCCTAACACATTTGTGAGCACAAAATGCCATGGGCTGGAGGGAGAGAGGCTGACATCCACCAGAAGCTTCTGGAAAGACTTCATGTAAGGGAAGCCTGGCTGTCAAGCTCCCCAGAGGGTGTGGGGTTACTGCGCTCACAGCCAGTTTGCAAACGTTTGTAGCTCATTTAACTGTGCCAAGGGCTCTCATGAAGCTGGACCTCGGAAGCAGAGGAAAGAGTGATCTGCGCAGGAAGATCTCCATCTCAAAAGCATTATGGGGTCCCCAAGCTAGTGGTAGGGAAGGAGCGGCCAGTAATCCAATGTAGTGAGAGTTACTGCACCGGCTGTTTCGTGGGAAGGGCGTGAGGTAAAGTGGGAAATGGCAGCTCAGCAACGGCCTTGGGGCGAAGCTCTGGCCTGTGGTTCACCTGCTGCTCTTCACCCGCTGGCCTGGGGGGTCCTGGTCAGGGGCCATCAGGCTTGTGAATTTCACATACAACGAACGATTATTTTAAAAAACTGGATGGGGGGGATGTCTGACATGGGGTTGACAACATCTTATTTTGCCTCGAAAGAGCAGTAAAACAATTTCCAGTGTCATCATTTCATAAAGTAAAAGGTATTTTTAAAACCAAAAAAGTGAATGAGTTTAATTTCTTGAAGAACTCACTACATCATCTGTATTCTTCTTATGGTGCTTCAGACCAAAAACACCATTTTTATGCCCTGACCCTAACTCCAAGACTAGCATTTGGGAAGCAAAGCTTAGAGGATCAGATAAATTTTCAAGTTGTCAGGTTTCAAGTTACATCCTAGGAACCAAACTTGCTGGTATATACTTTGCTTCTCCCTCAAACTGTCTCCCTGGGCTAAATCCACAGAGATGCAGAGGCTCAATGAGCGAGGCCATAGCCCTCCCTCCCATACCCAAGTCCCGCACTAAACCATGGCTCACCTCTCCAAACGCATCCAAAAAGCCCACTGGGCCCGATGCACTTAGTGGAAGTGTTTATCTTCTCGCTAAGTCTCCGCCACAGCTTGTGTGGTTGGAAGACCGCCTCTGTGCTCCTGTTTTGTTCAGCTCTAATATGTGCTAACTCTGTACTTCCACCCCAGTTCAAAGGAGCTTTCCAACATCAATGATGCAAAGTGACACACTTAGGAATAAACTGTACCAGTTAAGCAGGGTGACTGGTCACCCGAGAGAAGCCCAGTGACAAGCAGAGAGCCTTGATTTCCCCGTATGTATGCATGGGACCACGTGGTCTCTAAGGGATCTCCTGGCTCTGACATCAGCAGCCCTAGAGCCAGCAATCCTAAAAGCTGATTACTATAAAGGGGTCCCAAGTTTGGGACTAAATTTCCTGGCAGCTAAAATGAAGGAACATATTGAGTTACACAGTTTTCTTTTTCTGACAGAAGAATGCATGCAAATCGATTTGCAAGAGCCCGAGATTCCCCTGGAATGAAGCTCCTGCCTAAACTTCCTCTGAGCATCCCTGTAAATGAGACACGGGGTTATTGAATGGCCGGTGGCTTCCACCACAATATTACACAAGACCTACGGATGCTGTTCAAACAGATGATGCTTGTAAGGTATTTCCAAAAGGGCAGAGGTCACCGGGAACATCGTAACTCAAGGAAGGCATTTCTGCCTTTGATGGCCCTGTACTCTTAGGACAAGGACAGGAAGGACCTGATGAAAATGTTGCCTCACCTACATCTCAGAACCAGAGCAGAGTCCTCGGTGTGACTTTCCTGCAAGGACCCAGTGTCTCCATTTGTGGACTGTGGATGGCTGAATTTTATTTTAAGTAAACACACACACACACACACTACATGTATGTACTTTTATATGTATATGTGTTTTTATGATTATGAAAATAGTACTGTGTTCATTGTAGAAAATTTTGGAATGCAGAAAAGCATGGAAAAAAATTTTTAAAAAGATGCCAGTAACAGCAATTCAGAAAGGTAACCTTAGTTAGACCTTGCTATACGTTCCTCTAGTCACTTACTACGTGAGTTACACCCCCATGTGCATATATCTGACCCCTTGGGTCATCCTCTGTCTTTTTTGTTTCTCTTAAGCTTTTTTATTTAACAAGCTTTCTTTAAATACATTACTTAGAATACCAGTTTTGCAGGAATAAGTATTCCAGGAAGTAAGAGAAGTGTAGTCAAATAAGCTTGGGAAATGCTGAGTTAAACAGTTATTTTTTCTTCTTCTGGCAGGGCTTGTTGGAGCTTTCATGTTCTAACATTATCATACATTTCCAAAACAAAGATATGGGTGCAATAGTTAACTCTGGAACATTTTCTTGAAGGCATTATATAGAACTTGTGTTCTGAAAAGCACACGTAGGTAAAAGCACTTAACGTATCACGGTGTACCTTGTACAAGTGTCAGCCATTAACAAGTAAGTAGCCCAGGGTCACACAGTGAGTTCTAGTTAGAGCCCCTGCGTGCCAGGTTGTCCAGAGATGAGGGATTCCTCAGCCAGCAGTCAAAGTCACCTATTCTTGTGAGCATGAATAAAAAAAATACAGAGAATAATGTAACAAATATCCAGGTGTCTACCACACAGCTTAAAAAAGAAAGCATTGCAAAGATAGTCCGAGCCTTCTGGGTCCTCCTGCCTCTCACGTCCGCTTCCTTCCTCACAGCGGTAACTGCTGACTTGAACTTGGTATTTATTACTCCCAGTCGTGTTTTTGACCCCTGTTAGTTTGCCGGGGCTGCCACAGCAAAGGACCACAGGCTGGCCATCTTACACCGCAGAAACGTACTCACTCGCGGTTCTGGAGGCTAGAAGTCCGAGATCAGGACGTCAGCAGGGCTGAGTTCTTCTGAGGCCTCTCTTCTTGGCTTGTAGACGCCGTCTCCTCCCTGCGTCCTCTTTCCTTTGAGCATGCGCATCCCTGGTGTCTCTGTGTCCAAATTCCCCCTTCTTATAAGGACATCAGTCAGGTCGAGATCTGTCTTCCCTCTGTTCTTGTCTATGTTCCAATCTCCTCTTCTTATAAGGACGCCAGCCACACTGGACCCGGGCCACTGTCAAGATCTCATTTTAAATTAATTACCTCTTTGAAGTCTTTATCTCCAAATACCGTCACATTCTGAGGTGCTGGGGGTTAAGACTTTAACAGATGAACTTTGGAGGGCACAAAGCAGCCCATCACAACCAGCCACATGCCCATTCTCCTGTGGCTAGACTTTTTTTTTGGCATTATAAACAATGCTGTAATGAGTATTCTCATATAAAACTCTGTCACATTTGCTAACTAGATTTGTGCGCATGCCTAGGAGTGAGTTTATTTGGGTTAGTTATTGACTAGACCATCCTTTTCTTGTTGA